ACACAAGGCTCCTTGGCTTCATACACAGGCCCTGATCACATCCCTACCCAATTAGGGAGGCCAAGGCTCCTTGGCTGCGTTCACGCAGGCCCTGATCACATCCGACCCAGTCAGGGAGGGAATGCAAGGCTCCTTGGCTGCATTTACACAGGCCCTGATCACATCCTGACCCAGTTAGGGAAGGGAACGCAAAGGCTCCTTGGGAGCAGTTACAAAGGCCCTGATCACATCCCGACCCAATTAAAGGCAAATACAAGGCTCTTTGGCTGCATTCACACAGGCCCTGATCACATCCCGACCCAATTAAGGAGGCAAATACCTTGACTGCATTCCCACAGGCCCTGATCACATCCTGACCAAGGCTCCTTGGCTGCATTTACCGGCCCTGATCACATCCCGACCCAACTAGGGAGGGGAACGCAAGGCTCTGTGCCTGCATTTACAGGCCCTGATCACATCCCGACCCAACTAGAGAGGGGAATGCAGGGCTACCTTGGTTGCGCGGCCCTGATCACATCCCGACCCAATTAGGGAAGGGAACACGCTGCATTCTGATCACATCTACATGGAAAGGCCTTGAAAAAAAAGCTGGAAATCCTTATCCTGTCTTCAAATAGCTGGAAATCCTGGTGCTTTTTTTGCGAAGGAGAACTACCTGGAAATGCCTTCAAAGAGCTGGAAATCCTTATCCTGGTGCATTTTATGAAGGAGAATTATTTGGAAAGGCCTTCAAAGAGCTGGAAATCCTTATCCTGGTGCATTGCATGAAGGAGAACTACCTGGAAAGGCCTTCTTGGTGCATTTCACGAGGGAGAACTACCTGGAAAGGCCTCTTATCCTGGTGCAATTTATGAAGGAAAACTGCCAGGATCGCCAACCAATTAAGGAGAATCCCGGGCGACTCGGCTGCACATCCCAGCTGGAAAGCTTATCGTCAACCAATTAAGGAGAATCCCAGGCGACTCGGCTGCAAAGCTAGAAAGCTTATCGCCAACCAATTAAGGAGAATCCCAGGCGACTCGGCTGCAAACCCCAGCTGGAAAGCTTATCGCCAACCAATTAAGGAGAATCCCGGGCGACTCGGCTGCAAAGCTGGAAAGCTTATCGCCAACCAATTAAGGAGAATCCCAGGCGACTCGGCTGCAAATCCCAGCTGGAAAGCTTATCGCCAACCAATTGAGGAGAATCCCGGGCGACTCGGCTGCAAAGCTGAAAAGATTATCGCCAACCAATTACGGAGAATCCCAGGCGACTCGGCTGCAAAGCTAGAAAGCTTATCGCCAACCGATTAAGGAGAATCCCAGGCGACTCGGCTGCAAAGCTGGAAAGCTTATCGCCAACCAATTAAGGAGAATCCCGGGCGACTCGGCTGCAAATCCCAGCTGGAAAGCTTATCGCCAACCAATTAAGGAGAATCCCGGGCGACTCGGCTGCAAAGCTGGAAAGCTTATCGCCAACCAATTAAGGAGAATCTCAGGCGACTCGGCTGCAAAGCCCAGCTGGAAAGCTTATCGCCAACCAGTTAAGGAGAATCCCGGGCGACTCGGCTGCAAAGCTGGAAAGCTTATCGCCAACCAATTAAGGAGAATCCCGGGCGACTCGGCTGCAAAGCTGGAAAGCTTATCGCCAACCAATTAAGGAGAATCCCGGGCGACTCGGCTGCAAAGCTGGAAAGCTGATCGCCAACCAATTAAGGAGAATCCCGGGCGACTCGGCTGCAAAGCTGGAAAGCTTATCGCCAACCAATTAAGGAAAATCCCGGGCGACTCGGCTGCAAAGCTGGAAAGCTTATCGCCAACCAATTAAGGAGAATCCCAGGCGACTCGGCTGCAAAGCTGGAAAGCTTATCGCCAACCAATTAAGGAAAATCCCGGGCGACTCGGCTGCAAAGCTGAAAAGCTTATCGCCAACCAATTAAGGAGAATCCCAGGCGACTCGGCTGCAAATCTCAGCTGGAAAGTTTCTCGCCAACCAATTAAGGAGAATCCCGGGCGACTCGGCTGCAAATCTCAGCTGGAAAGCTTATCGCCAACCAATTAAGGAGAATCCCAGGCGACTCGGCTGCAAATCTCAGCTGGAAAGCTTATCGCCAACCAATTAAGGAGAATCCCGGGCGACTCGGCTGCAAACCTCAGCTGGAAAGCTTATCGCCAACCAATGAAGAGAATCCCAGGCGACTCGGCTGCAAATCCCAGCTGGAAAGCTTCTCGCCAACCAATTAAGGAGAATCCCAGGCGCCTCGGCTGCAAATCTCAGCTGGTAAGCTTATCGCCAACCAATTAAGGAGAATCCCGGGCGACTCGGCTGCAAAGCTGCTTCCAAGAGCTGGAAATCCTTATCCTGGTGCATTTTATGAAGGAGAACTACCTGGCAAGGCCTTCCAAGAGCTGGAAATCCTTATCCTGGTGCATTTTATGAAGGAGAACTACCTGGCAAGGCCTTCCAAGAGCTGGAAATCCTTATCCTGGTGCATTTTATGAAGGAGAACTACCTGGCAGCCTTCCAAGAGCTGGAAATCCTTATCCTGGTGCATTTTATGAAGGAGAACTACCTGGCAAGGCCTTCCAAGAGCTGGAAATCCTTATCCTGGTGCATTTTATGAAGGAGAACTACCTCGTCCAAGAGCTGGAAATCCTTATCCTGGTGCATTTTATGAAGGAGAACTACCTGGCAAGGCCTTGCAAGAGCTGGAAACCCTTATCCTGGTGCATTTTATGAAGGAGAACTACCTGGCAAGGCCTTCCAAGAGCTGGAAATCCTTATCCTGGTGCATTTTATGAAGGAGAACAACCTGGCAAGGCCTTCCAAGAGCTGGAAATCCTTATCCTGGTGCATTTTATGAAGGAGAACGACCTGGCAAGGCCTTCCAAGAACTGGAAATCCTTATTCTGGTGCATTTTATGAAGGAGAACTAACTGGCAAGGCCTTCCAAGAGCTGGAAATCCTTATCCTGGTGCATTTTATGAAGGAGAACTACCTGGAAAGGCTCTTATCCTGGTGCATTTTATGAAGGAGAACTACCTGGAAAGGCCTTCCGCGAGCTGGAAATCCTTATCCTGGTGCATTTTATGAAGGAGAACCACCTGGTAAGGCCTTCTGCGAGCTGGAAATCCTTATCCTGGTGCATTTTATGAAAGAGAACTACCTGGAAATGCCTTCCGCGAGCTGGAAATCCTTATCCTGGTGCATTTTATGAAGGAGAACTACCTGGAAAGGCTTTCCGCGAGCTGGAAATCCTTATCCTGGTGCTTTTTTCTGAAGAAGAACTACTTGGAAAGGCCTTCCGCGAGCTGGAAATGCTTATCCTGGTGCATTTTATGAAGGAGAACTACCTGGAAAGGCCTTCCAAGAGCTGGAAATCCTTATCCTGGTGCATTTTATGAAGGATAACTACCTGGAAAGGGAAATCCTTATCCTGGTGCATTTTATGAAGGAGAACTACCTGGAAAGGCCTTCCGCAAGCTGGAAATCCTTATCCTGGTGCATTTTATGAAGGAGAACTACCTGGAAAGGCCTTCTGCGAGCTGGAAATCGTTATCCTGGTGCATTTTATGAAAGAGAACTACCTGGAAATGCCTTCCGCGAGCTGGAAATCCTTATCCTGGTGCATTTTATGAAGGAGAACTACCTGGAAAGGCTTTCCGCGAGCTGGAAATCCTTATCCTGGTGCTTTTTTCTGAAGAAGAACTACTTGGAAAGGCCTTCCGCGAGCTGGAAATGCTTATCCTGGTGCATTTTATGAAGGAGAACTACCTGGAAAAGCCTTCCGCGAGCTGGAAATCCTTATCCGGTGCATTTTATGAAGGAGAACTACCTGGAAAGGCCTTCCAAGAGCTGGAAATCCTTATCCTGGTGCATTTTATGAAGGAGAACTACCTGGAAAGGCCTTCCGCGACCTGGAAATCCTTATCCGGTGCATTTTATGAAGGAGAACTACCTGGAAAGGCCTTCCGCGAGCTGGAAATCCTTATCCTGGTGCATTTTATGAAAGAGCTACCTGGAAAGGCCTTCCGCGAGCTGGAAAAGGCAAGGCCTTCCAAGAGCTGGAAATCCTTATCCTGGTGCATTTTATGAAGGAGAACTACCTGGCAAGGCCTTCCAAGAACTGGAAATCCTTATTCTGGTGCATTTTATGAAGGAGAACTACCTGGCAAGGCCTTCCAAGAGCTGGAAATCCTTATCCTGGTGCATTTATGAAGGAGAACTACCTGGCAAGGCCTTCCAAGAGCTGTAAATCCTTATCCTGGTGCATTCTATGAAAGAGAACTACCTGGCAAGGCCTTCCAAGAGCTGGAAACCCTTACGCTGGTGCATTTTATGAAGGAGAACCACGTTTGCTTGTCCTCAACCTGAATGGGGGCCATGTGCCAGGTGCTTATGCTCAACCAGAATGGGGTGCAGCCGAGTCGCTTCAGTCAACACAAAGTCCTGACACCAGCAATTCCTGTTTGCTTGCCTCAACCTGAATAGGGGCCAGCGTTTACCGCTCACACCGTGCGCTTTGGCTCAATATGAACAGCCTTAAGTCTTCATCCACAGCCATTTCGGGCGCAAGCCTCTGTCACCGCAAAAGGTCTTGAGAGCATTTTCGCATCCCTTGTTTCTCAGCTCAACTGATGCGAGTTGCAATGGCCAACCGCTGCGGCTGTTGGGGGGCCTGAACTGCGAGCTGAAGTGGGACGGTGGCCCGATCGCAAATTTGCGGACCATGGCCGGCCACGTCGCAGGCTCTGTGCGCTGGACAGCTGCTGGGCTGAATGAACCGGAAGCCCACAAATACCGTATTGCCATGCTGTTTCGACCTGTGAGCTTCTAGGCCCTTCAGAACGTCACGGTCGGCGACGTCATCTCAGCCATGGGATCTGAAGCCCATAGTCACGAAGCACTGTCGCGGCAGACGCATCTGGCAATCCTGATCAACGGACGATGGCAGCCAGAAGAGCAGCCAGTGGCCGGACCGTTTCTTCTCTTAGAAAAGCTGCCGCGATGCAGGCTACGGCACAAGCAGTCGCTGGCAGAACATCTGTTTCACGCCAATCTTCATTCGCTCTGACTCTCAAAATTCCACAGAAACGGCCGGTCATGGGCTACTCGCTTCTTCTGTGCATTGTTGAGCCATGTTGCACCTCTTTCTTGAGCTTGTGAGAAGGTAGGGACGGCCGAGCCTTCCCGTGCTTTTTGTTGCTTGTGCAGCGCGCTTGGGCTCAATTCGAATCGTTTTAAAGTCTTCATCCGTGTCCCGCTGCGGCCAGGCAACCATTGGGGTACAAATCTCAATCGTCGCAGCTGTTCGTTTCGTTTTTGGAACATGGCCGCTGTCTTGTTTCTCAGGTCGACTGGTGCGACAGCATGCTCGAAGACACGTGCGAGGACTTGGAGAGCAGAGACCACTCGATTCGCGACTCCGAACAGGCGGACTTCGAGGACGGGTTCGACGACTGGGACTGGGTCGACAGTGAGATGCAGCGCGAAGCCGAGGAAGATGCGCGTGAGAGAGTACAGTGGAGCAAAGAAATGGAAATCCAGAATGAATACCGCCAGCGTCTCGCCAACATGACGGTGAAGTACCTGAACATGCAAGGTAGCGAAACCCACACCTCGAAGCCTTATCCACTCTGCCATGTCGAACCGTGCGAGTCTTTCCGGGAAGCCTGGCTGCACACTTTGCACGAAGGAAACAGCCCAGATCGCCGTCTCTCCCTGCGCCAACTACGTCTCAGACGACAAGAAATTAAGAAGCCTATCCCGGCGGAAACGCTGCAATATCGCAGCGCCAGGGAAGTCTTGCTTCACGATTTGGACAGCGGTCCTGCAGGACCCATCCCCCTCGACACCACGAAGCTGGTCTTGGGCGGGGGCGTGATCACAGACACCTGGAGCTGGCGTGAACTGTTGGGTCACAGCTTGAGCAACGACGTCGTGCACGTGCAAGTTGTCTACATCTCAGAGAAAGCCACAGGCCCGTAGAGCTGCCCATGTGAGTACGTTATGTCTCAGCAAGACAAGCCTGCAGAGCTCCAGTGTGTGCCACGAGAAAGAAACTGAGCAGCGAGCAAAGGCAGGACAGCTTTGTAAGTGCTCGAGCATGGCTTCTCAAGTTGCTTCACTGAGCCTGCTGCAGTGTTTCGGATACAGCCCCTAGGTGCAAAATCTGAGGATTCAGGATTCGTTGCCATGGCCCCTTGTCATCGGTGCGGCTTCGGGACAAGGAGCGGCAGAGGACAGGGATGGTGCAGCAATCCGCAGTGCCGCCAAGCCGAAAAAGAGGAGTGCCTGGCCCAGAAGAGCGCAGAGAAAATTGTTTGGCAGCAACAACGGGCAGCGCAGGGAGCGGGCAGTCGTGGACCCTTGCGCGAAGAGAACAGCAGAAAGGCAGAGCGCCGACAGCTGCATGAGGAAAGGGCGCGGGCAAAGGCAGAGGAGGAAGCAGGCGGCCGTGGACCTTTGCGTGAAGAAGACAGCAAAGAAGCAGAGCGCCGACAGCTGCGTGAGGCAAGGGCGCGGGCAAAGGCAGAGGAGGAAGCGGGCGGCCGTGGACCTTTGCGGGAAGAAGACAGCAAAGAGGCAGAGCGCCGACAGCTGCATGAGGCAAGGGCGCGGGCAAAGGCAGAGGAGGAAGCGGGCGGCCGTGGACCTTTGCGGGAAGAAGACGGCAAAAGGGAAGAGCGCCGACAGCTGCGTGAGGCAAGGGCACGGGCAAAGGCAGAGGAGGAAGCGGGCGGCCGTGGACCTTTGCGGGAAGAAGACAGCAAAGAAGCAGAGCGCCGACAGCTGCGTGAGGCAAGGGAGCGGGCAAAGGCAGAGGAGGAAGCGGGCGGCCGTGGACCTTTGCGGGAAGAAGACGGCAAAAGGGAAGAGCGCCGACAGCTGCGTGAGGCAAGGGCGCGGGCAAAGTCAGAGGAGGAAGCGGGCGGCCGTGGACCTTTGCGGGAAGAAGACAGCAAAGAAGCAGAGCGCCGACAGCTGCGTGAGGCAAGGGAGCGGGCAAAGGCAGAGGAGGGAGTGGGCGGCCGAGGGCCCAGGCCCATCGCCTCGGAGATTCAGCAGCAGGGCTACCCTTTTCCAGACGAGGACACCTTGACCCAGGAGCAGGCACAAGCCCATTACTTGGCTTTTGCGCGGAGCTGGAGTAGATTTGGCCTTTCTCGCGTGTGCCAGAAGTGCCAGACTCTAACACCAGGGAGGCACTGCAGAACAGCCAAAGGAAGTGGCCAGCTGCTCTGCAGGAATTGCCGCGAGAATCGCACCAAGGTGGTTTTGCCAATCCCGGCCCCCATCCCAGAAGCACTGCAAAGTCTGCAACCCATCGAGCAGCATCTCCTCGCCATGGCACGCATCTCGCAGGTCTTGTTGGACAAGCTGCCATCAGGCGGCCCGAGCGCGCAGTGGGGTCGCATGTACGCAGTGCTCATGCAGGATCCTTTCATCTGCGACGTCCTCGAAGGCGCCACTTTGGAAGAAGACGGTACAGTGCTGGTCGAGGGCGTGGACGGCATGACCGCATCACCAGCGCGTTTGGAGCACCTACACGCGGCCTTGCAGGCCTTGAAGGAACTGCACTGCCTCTATCAACGGAGCCCGGCAGTGGACAGAGCTCTGGCGAGAATGGCTGCCATCCTCGCCAACAAGACATCCGCTGCGGCTGCGGTGCCAACAGACCCACTTGCGGGAACAGAAGCAAACCAAGAGATCGAGATGACATACCTGGTGCCGAAGCAATTCCAGGCCCCAAAAGCCGACGTACAAGATTTGCGAAAAGTGCGAGGATCCGCAGACCTCAGCGATGGCATGGATGCAAAATTCTTCCCACACTTGTTTCCCACCGGCACAGGAGGCTGGAAGAACGACAACGGAAGCTTTTCCCAATATGCCCGGAAGCGTCTGCTGAGCCTGGATTCCCGCTTCGAAGCGTCCACGGCCTACATCATGTGGCTGCTGGAGATGCAGACCAAGAAGCGACTTTCCGGAAACATCAACGTCCGGATCGGCAACCAGCGGGTGCCCTACGGCAGTAGCGACTACGAGAACGGTAGCCGTCAGGTGTATGCTGCCTTGCGGGACATGCCTGGCACGCAGCCGTACCTGTACGCCAAGAAGGGAGTGGCGCTCAACATGTACGAGCAGCTTGGCGCTCCCAACTTCTTCATGACACTGTCCTGCCACGCGCGCCAGCCTGCGTTGCTCCTCGCGGCTATCTCGGCACGGCTGCTGCGGCTGCATCCCGACCGCCCTCAGGCAGAACTGGAGCAGCACGCTGCAGAGATCCTATTCCGCTACCAGAATGACAAGAACTTCACTTGGGATGGGTTGTCGCCCAACCAGTTGTGCAACCAGCAGCCGGCAGTGGTAGCGCGACAATTCATGCACCAAGTCTCTCAGCTGATGTGGTGGCTGTCCAGCACGCGCGGTCCGAAAGTCCACCTGCACGAAGATGCTGATCCACAAGATGGAGTCGAGGAGAACGACTGCGAGGACGTGGAGGACGACGCCCAGGCACCCGCCACGGATTTTGCAGGCCTTCATCGCCGCATGCGCAAGGAACGGCCTCCTTTCAAAGTGTTGGACTACATCATTCGCATAGAATGGCAAAAGCGGGGCTACCCCCACGCTCACATCCTGCTTTGGATCGAAGAGTGGGCCAAAGCAACGCAGCAGCCAGACAAGATGGCGCCCGACGGCGAAGACTCCGAACAAGCAGCAGAGACACCGGTTCCAGACTGGTCTGACGAAGAGGCCATGGAGAACTTCATCCCCAAGTGTGCGGAGGACCTCAGCGACAAGTACATCTGCACCAAGTCCCCGAACACGTGGCGCCAATCCCACCGCGTACCACCCAGAGATAGAGAAGTGAACGCAAAGCTGTCCGCAGAGGTGGTGCACAACCACACGCCATATTGCGGCATGTACTCAGAAGGCGCCTGTCGATTTGGATTTCCACATGATGCAGAGCCCCGGACTCGGCGTCGAACATCGCAGGAGCAGTACGCCAACAGCCGCTGGAAGAGCAGCCTTGCGACGAGACGAGTGAAGGGAGACAGCATGATGGGACAGTACAACATTCGAATCTTGAGAAGGTGGAGGGCAAGCATGGACCTGCAGGTCATCTGCGAGCTCACCAGCGCCAGTCGGTACATACTGGGCTACACTTTCAAGTCGGAGGAGGATCGCGAAGCGCAGCGGCGAATGGAAAACATCCTTGCCATCCTAACAAGTCAGAGCGCAGGCGCCGGCCTCGACAATCAGAAGATCTACAAGGCAGCCCACGCGGCGTTGCAGGGCAGGACCACGTCGACCTTCGAGGCATGCCACCTTCTGCTGGGCTTCCCGATCATCGAATTCTCCAGGGACAACGTCTGGGTACAGGTAGGGCCTCCAGACACCTGGACAGTGTGGGTGCCCAAGCACGAGGAACAGGTGGCCTTGCAGCAGCCCACTGACTACCGCAACAAGAAGATGCGCCAAGGTGGGAACCTGCCTGTTGCTCATCACTGGTACCGGGAAATGCAAACCACCTTCGGTGAACATGAGACGACCTTGCCAGTGGAAGGCAGGGAGCCGGTTTCCTGTCGGTTTAGTGAAGTCACCTTCCTGGACTTTTGCGCGGCTTTCAAGTACATCGGCGTGCAAGAACCACAGCCTCGCAGGCGCCCTGCAATCGTCGGCTACCAGAACTTCAATCCGGACGAGGAGGCCGAAGCTTTCTACTACTCCAAGTTGCTGCTGCACCTGGTGTGGAAGGAACCTGGAGATTGGCTGTTGGAGCAGGATGCAGGAAGCCATGCAGCAGCGTTCCAGCGCATCGCCCGAGACGTGCGCGGCCACCCAGACTTCCTTCGGTCGAGATGCTTCCCTCAGCTAGATGGCACCGTCGACGCCGCCCGCAAGCTGCAGGCCGTACAAGCGACGATGTACATGAAGGCCAAGATGCATCCGGCAAACCTGCGGGACGGCTGGGCCAACAGCAAGGTTGCCGAGGAGAACTACAAGGATTCCTTGCAAATATTGGAGGCACTGAAGGAGCGGTATGGAGGAGACATCGACTTCCTGGCCCCGGACTCTGTGCCCACCGGAGCTGCCCTCAATGCCTTTGCGCCGGTCGAGGAAGGCGAAGAATCATTCGAGATGTTGACGGTTGAGAACCCCTGCCCGGAGACCACGCGCCAGTGCCAAGCCATGGAGCACATCGTCCAGTCAGTTCTGAGGCAGCCGAACACCAAGGACACGCAGAATACTCAGCGTCTGCACATGCTCCTCCACGGGCCCGGCGGCAGCGGCAAGTCCGTGGTGGTACGCGCAGCAGCTCACGTCCTGCGGCAAAGCAAGAAAGGATGCATCATAGCGGCGCCCACGGGTGTGGCAGCATTCAACATCAACGGTGTCACCCTCCATCAATGTTGCTTGCTCCCCGTAGTGAACCAAAGCCACGGCAAGGCCTGCGACATGCCGCTGCCGGACCGCCAGAAGTTAGCCACTCTCAGAGACATCTGGTCGAAGGTCAGCGTTCTGTTCGTTGACGAGATGAGCTTCATCCCCTCCTGGATGTTGGAGCGTCTGGATCAGCATCTCCGTCTTGCCAGAGATCTGCAAACCCTGCCCTTCGGAGGACTGCACGTCATCTTTGCCGGGGACCTGTATCAGTTGCCTCCACCAAGCGGGCTGCCGGCCTTCGCCAGCCGGCTTTGGCTGCTCTTCCAGCTCTGCGAGTTAGAAGGAAACCAGCGGGCCGCACGCGACCCAGCCTGGGCCGCTCTGCTGGCACGCGTTCGGGTGGGACAGCAGACCGACGCCGACATTGAGGTGCTGCGGAATATGGTGATCAAGAAAGGCAGCAAGAAGCGGCCCGCCCCGAAAGCCGTGAACCTATACGCCACTCGCCAAGCAGTCGCCGAAAGCAACCGCCGCTACAAGGAAGAGCACGTCTTGAACACAGGAGAACAGCTACACGATTGCCCAGCTGTCGACACCAACGTCAAGACCGGTGTGCCGCTGTCTCCAGATGCCGTCTGGGCCGAGCCGGAGAACACGGGTGGCTTGGTAGGCCTGCTGCAGGTGGCCATTGGGCTCCGTGTCATGCTCAGATACAACATCGACGTGCGAGATGGCTTGGTCAATGGCGCCTGTGGCACGGTGGAGCACATTGACACCGAGAAAGCCGGCGGGGAAGTCGAGAGGATCTGGGTTTCTTTCGAGAAGAATGCTGGGGCCACTTGGCGAGCAGAGCACGAAACCTCCTGCGTGGCAATCTCGAGGCGCTCGGCCACGTACCTTGACAGAGACGGCAGCAAGGCATCGAGGCATCAATTCCCGCTCGTTCTCGCCAAAGCCATCTCGATCCACAAGAGCCAGGCAGCTACCTGTAAGGACGGAGCGCATACCCGCCTCGATCACACCATCTTCGCAGAAGGTCAAGCCTACGTCGCCCTGAGCCGCTGCCCCGAACAGGCACTCTGCAGCTTGGAGCTCTTCAACCCCAAGGCTTTGCGGTTCAACGCCAACGCAGAGTGGGCTCTGACCAAGCTGAAGGCGCAGCAAGCCGACCGGGACGGCCCGGATCTCTGGAAGGCGTTGTTCAAGCCGGAGCAGAACAAGGAGTTCTATGAAAGACGACTAGCTGAGATGGGGACGCCCGACTGGAACCGTCTCAAGCCAGACCACGGCGAGCGCATCGAGCGGCCCTGGTGTTGTGCACTATGCGGCACGGAGGCTCCCAACACCAAAGCTGCCATCAAGGCTCATAAGCGCAAGTGCCCGGCCAAGCCACCAGCCAAGACGAACGCCAAAAGCAAAGCAAAGGCCAAAGCAAAATGCAAAGCAAAGTTCGTCTTCATGGGCCTAGGCAAACGGGCTGCAGAAAGCTCTTGCGCGGCCGGGTCTTTGGCCAAGATGCAACGGACAGGCAGCCGACCCGATCAAGACACACCTGCAGGCCTGTATTTTTAGGCGCAAGAGCAAGCTCTCTGCGGCATGCACGCCCTGAACATGGCCTTGGGGGCAGCCTTCTTCACTGAAGCGGACATGGACAACGCCGTGCAGGTTGTCCTCGAAGAAGGTGGGGTGGAACGAGGTGAAGCTGCAGAGGACCACGCGGCGCCAGGTGGCTTCTACTCCTCGGAAGTGCTTGCGCAGGTACTGCAAACCAAAGCCATGGCTGCTTTTGGTCGTGTGAGGTGGCAAATGGACCTTCAACCCGTCGTGAGCAAGCACGATCTGGAAGCAGCTGCCGGGGCGGTGCAGAACCGGGACAACGCACACTGGGTGGCATATCGATATTTCCATGAGAAGATCTTCAGGTTGGACTCCCTGGCTCGTACCCGCAGAGCAGAGCAGATACCGGAAGCCGTCTTCTTGGCGGAGCTCGCTCGACATCCCGCGACCTACTGCATCCGAGAGGTCTAGCCGCGGCTGCCATCTCCTAACAATGTTGTGATGCCGCGAGGACACCTCTGGTGCTCCACGCCAACGTTTCACCCCCCCACAGACCAGCGTTCTCACGCGAGATCGCACAAGGCAAGGCAGAAACCAAGGCGCCAGCTCATGCTCATGTGATGG